ATCGGCCAGGCCGGTAAGGAAGTAGCACATGGCCGAGTCATCGGAGCAATGCGCGACATTAAGCTGCTTCTCCTCGAAGCGGGTCACATATTTTCTCAAAGTCTCGCCTTCTTTCTGTCGAATAGTGGCGAGGCGAGTGATACTTTTCCTGTCATAATACCAAAAAGAGAATTGGCTAATGAACTCCTTCCTCAGCTGATTGTAGGTCGAGATCCACTTGGCCGGCAGCCTCCTGTACCAGAGCCGAGCGCTCTCCGTGAGAGCGATCTGGAAGGCTCGGCACTTGATATCGTTAGACACTGTTTGAAAGTCCATAAGGCCCTCAAATACCTTCACATAGTCCTTTGGGTCCTTAGACCCGTTGTAGGGTTTCATGGCAGGCATTTTGAACTTTGGAGGGATTGGGGCCTTCAAGATGTCTGAGGTGAACGGTGATTCATCCATCTTGCCATCCTCAAAGGAACTTTCCTTCCTCTCGCACTTCGCCTTGAGTGCCTCAACCTGTTCGTCAAATCTATGCTTCATCAGATCGAACTTTGCCCTCGTAATCACGGCCTCCGGTGTCAACGGCTTATACTTCAACTAGGCCTTGAGGTCGGAGTTTGAGTATTTGTGAGAACAGGATGGAGAGATCCTTGGTCCCTGCGGGGCATTCCTCTTTTTATTGACCATGTGCTTTCGAAGGTCATGATCCCTCAAGCTAAAGTCGATCCCACCATTGTCGGCGACGGGCTCATAGTCATCGGGATGGATGGGGGGATCTTGATCATCTCCATCTTCTGGCAGGTCGTATGCCTCGCCTAGGGCCTTGGAATGAGACCCCGTTCGATTTGACCTTATCATTTCATTATATGTCTCCTCCATGGTGCGCACTCGGTTGCGCATATCATCTAACTCCCGCTGGAGGGTAGCGAGAACCTCAGGGTCTGCAGCTGGCACGACCCTTCGAGAAACTTTTTTCGAGGTCCCACCTCGACCTCGGTTGGTCTTGCTGGGCCTAGGGTGTGCTGGAGGCAGGACGGTGTTGGCATTGCAGGTGGACCTCCGAGGTGGCTCCACCTCTTGCCCTGCCCTAGCCTGGTCTTCAGTTAATTTGGCGTCAACTTCACGTTGAACACTATTGTTTGCATTCAAAGCCTTCCGTTCAGCGGTGTTCGCAGAATCTGCTGGGTGGATCATCTCGGATCGGATTGCTTTGGTTGCTGGAACGTCTTGCAATGTTGTTTCCCACAGACGACGCCAAATGTTTATGCGAGAATTTACACAATTCAATCTAGCTCGAACCCGGTCCTTGCTCCGACCTGAAAGGCTAAGGGAGGACCTGCACAAGAGGGCAAAATCTCCGACGCTCAAGTCAGTAAGCAGCTCGAATTAAATATTAAGTTCGAGGAGAAATTCGATAGCTGACGGTGAAATGAAGCCCTCTATTTATAGGTTTAGGTTCCGACAGGGGTTGCGATAGGCGGTTACCTGGTTGGATTTGAGGTCGGACGTGTCGGGTTTGAGCAGATCGAACTCGGACACATTCCTGGAAATGACAGGTTGGTTCCTCAAAAGGAAATGGTAAGATTTTCATCTCAGGAGGTTCCGCGATGGAGCTTCGTAAGTTTGTTTCTTCGAATCCTCCATCAGCAGCCAAATCTTTGTCCTCTACGTGGCAATAGGATTTTTCATCCCCAAACACGGGGCTTCCCTAGACCTATCATCAACATAAGTTCTTTGCCACGCAGCAAGTCCCCTATTGGCATCGTTGAAATTCTATATAAAGCCACCAACTTCATTCTCTTCCACGTCAATTCATCAAGCAAAAACTAAATTTCTCTTCTTCAATTCTTGCTCTCAAAATCTCTAAATTCTCATTCTCTCATATATCAAAATTTGCTAATTTTTGTTATTGTGAGATATACATTAGAGTGAGAGCTTAGTCTATGTTTTTTAGTGTAATTGTATAATTCACCTTTGTGAGGTAGTTTATTTGTATTGTTTATTTTACTTTATTTGTGATTTTGTATTAAGGTGTGGGTGGATGTACCTTGGAATCGTGAGAGTGGTTTGACCATGAACTAGTGAAAATGGTCGTAGTAGTTTGATCTTGAACGAGTGAAAATGAATGGTATAAGTTTGGATCCTGGACTTGCAAAAGGAATCTTGGGGAGTGAGGTAGGAATTTCCGAACCACTATAAAAATTCTTGATGTCATATTTTTATCTCTACTCTTTTAGTATGTGCATTTAAATTTCGTTCGATTTTACAATTGCTTGTTATTCTTGAGTTTACATTTTTAAAATCTAAAAATTGGCAAACAACCCCCTTATAGTATTGCCATATCGATAAGGACTCATCAAAAACTATTTTAAGTATAAAGACGTAGCTATTAAATATAACTTCCAAAGTCCAAAAATCTATAAAAATATTTTAAAGTATAATGATATATTATTATCATTATTATTATTTTCTGAAGAAGAAAAGTATAATGATATCTTAGATACAATAAGTTAGGCCAATTTTATAAATTAAATATTAAAAAATTATTGTAGGAGGTGGAAACGAGATATATCTATTACATTTTTCTTTTCTTGTTTTGTTTTGTTTTTCTGTTTTATCAAATTATTAACCAAAAGATGGACTATCCTTTTCGAAAGTTAACTGTAACTGTAAGCAATAAAATATCGGTCAAATATTATATTATTTCACTTTTCATAATAGATTTACGTGAAAGACGTTTGTCAGACTCATCATAATGATTAAGGTTTGGTTTAATAAGAAATTTCATTTCATTATTTTCTGTTTTTTTTTTAAACTATATATATGTCTAAATTACATTTTGAACACTTAGTGAAGTTTAAAAATTAAAAATAAAATTTTGAAAAAAATACTTATTTTAATTATTAAGATGTTGCTATACTTTAAAATTATTTCTAAACTAAAGCAACTCTAAATAAATTATGGTAAAATTTGAATCTAGGTCCTTTAATTTTAAAGAAAAATATTAATGTCTTAATCATGATTAGTTGAGTTAAATTTAGGTAGACAATAATATATGTATTAAAAAAGGAATCCTCAATTTTATTGATTTTTATTCTTTATTTATAATTTTTCTACTTTTATTTATTATTTCAAAATTTGGTCAATTAAGAGAGTAGATATATGTCAAATTAATTAGGATTATATTTAAAATTTTTGGTCCCTTTCATTTAATATCACATTCCACTCATTTAGGTCAAAATCTTGTTTCGCTTTGATATTGGGAAAGGTAAACAAATTGATAAACTTCAAATAAAGATGATAAGAAAAAAAATTCTATAAAAAGAAATATGATGGCCACTTCAGTAAAATTGAAATGTTTATTCATTTATCTATTGAAATGTCAAAAATGCCCCGCGTAATATGGCTGTCACTTTGTGTCATTAAGTAAACATACGTAAGGAAAAAAAAATAGTTATACGTTTAGTAATTTAATAGTTACGAGAATGATAGTCATCATATTGTAATACTTTTATAGAATAATTAAGAAAATTTTTAATATATGATTAAAAAAATTATTTTTGCTTATTTATTTTTAAGTCATACAAATGAGTTTTTTAGTTTTGTAATTTATTATTTTAGAAAATTTTAGAATCTTAATCAAATTTCACGATTTTTTTTCTCTAGAGATATAAAGTACTATTAAAAGGGGTGTGTTTCATACCAATTTTATTTATGTTCCATTTTTTAAAAAATATTTTTTTACCAAGATTTATTTTAGATTTATAATTTACTTATCCAAATATTTTTATAATAATCAACCATTTAAATATCAAGAAACTAGTTTTAGAAAATCGTCTTACCGTTTTCTGAAATTAAAAGAAAATCTCAAAGGCATTCTTAAAAGAGAAAACAAATTTAAATGAAGAACCGAAAGAAAAAAAGTTAAGAAATAAACATAAATTAAAAAAATAAAAAGTGTTAAATTGAATGTCTTTTTTTTTTCTCTCTCTCTCTATTTTTGATAATATAATGTCACATAAATTCGACGTAATCATTATTACCTTCGTTTTGTCAACATGGAAATTTATAAAATCTCTGTATTTAGGCGTTAGACCTAATTTAATTATGTTTTCACCAAATATTTGAATATAATGAGCAGATAAAACGTGAATTCCAACGTAATTCAACTAATTTAGAGTAGGTGGTTTAAAAATAGAAATTAAAAAAAGAGATTGGATTAAAACAAAATTATTTTAAAATCTATGGTTGTAGATTTGAAAATTGAATCTCAATTTAAAAAAAGAAAAATAGAAGATGTTTGGTAGTATATTTGTAAATTAGTGTTTGTTGGCTACAAAAATATTTTAAATCTAAAATAATGTTAATTAATTAATTAACATATATGATATAATTTTTGTAGAATTATTATTTTACAATATTATATATTTTTTACTTTTACAAAAATTAAATGAGTTTATAATATCATATCATATATTTATCAAAATTTTTATTTTTTTCAATGTAATTCAATATTTTAAATACTATTTTCAGAATTTCAACAGAATTCGAAAACAAAATTATTTTTAAAAATAAATTTGTCAATTATTATTCATCGACTCAATTGATTAAGAATATAAAAACAATAAACAAAATCAGAGTCCTTACACTGTATATACCTTCAACTCAAAGATAAAAGATTCAAATGCACCCATGGAAAAGAAATAATGATTAGATAAAAACCTCTTGAAGAAGAAGGAACAAAAAAGCATTATAACTGAAAAGGATATTATTTAACTTTATTTTCACTTTTCCCCATCCGCTCCTCTCTGAAACACATAATTTGTCCTTCTTTTTTTTAATATGAAAAATCGAACTTTACAGTTCAGTACTTAGAGATGATAGATCTTGACCATCTAAAAAAGATTCTTACAAGCTCCAACGACAGAACATTTTTTTTTTCGGGGAAAATTAATAAAATAAACAAAACATTTTGCTGGTGGTCATTCTTATTTGTTGTCCCCCCCAACTGTGGAAGAAGTTTCACCACCTCTCAATCAGGGTTCTTGTGGAGTGTTCAATTATTGAAACTTTTGAAAGTTACTCACTCCACCCACCTCTTTTTTCCCCCTTTTTTTCCCACACCCACTTGCTTTTTTTCTTTTTTGTTTGAAAACTCTTCTTCTTCTCTCTGATGCTTATTTTCTAGGGCTTGCTCTGTTTTTCCTCTTTCTTAAATCCCATGTCCCAAACCCAGATGTAGCTTTTTTTTTTGCTTTGTTTTAAACTTCATTCTTAAAAACGTTTTTGATCTCGGGTTTGTGAAGAACTGCTCCATTTCCCTGGATTAGATTCTGTTTTTCCCATTTTTGACTTCTGTTCTCCTTTATTTGAAGAGCAATTTATGTTGATTTTCCCCCCTTTTTGTGTTTGATATTCTCATTTCAAAGTTGGGTCTTCGTTTCTTGAGTACTGCATTTCATAAAATGTTCATTTGTGGAGAGAAAGAAGAGATGTTATTGAAATCCTCATCCCCTGTGGGATCAAGCTCAGATTCCTCTACTGGGCTCCCTCCAGCTCCGATGTCGTCGGGTTCGCCCCTGCTCGCACTCGGGTCTATTTGTACAGATGTGAGTGTTGTTCCAGAGCATACACAGACTGAGCTCCATCAGTCAATATTGAATCTAGAAGGTGAGGTTCTTACTACTTCAGGAGTTGTAACAATTTGTGTTGGTTTTTCATGGTGTAAAAATGGTTGGATTGACTTGATTTTCTAGGCGAAATCGAACAATTGAGATTGAAGCTGAGGCGTTCGGACGAAAAGCGGAGAGAAGCGTTGAATAAGATTCTAGACATTAAAGGTTGTGAACTGATGGTTGATCTTGATCCCTTGTAGAATGCTGTTTTTCTGTTAGTGTTGGTTAAGTATCGCACATCAAAAAGATAAATGGATTTTACAAGGTTTATATATACATGGATTACTCATTTCATCGCCGGATGAAATCTTATAAACCTTCTAGAATGCTGTTTTTCTTGTTAGTGTCTAAATCATGACCTTGTAGTTTGACCTATTTTCAGGAAGCATTCGCGTGTTCTGTCGAGTTCGCCCATTCCTATTGACAGATCGGAGAAGGATTTGTGACCCCATTTCATTGGAACGAGAAAAGGTCATGGTTCGCTCGTTGGGAAGTAGAAAGGAGTTTGAATTTGATAAGGTTTTCTCCAAAGAAGCATCCCAAGGTTAGCTCTTATCTAACATATTGATGTGTGTTTTGAATCAGTTTTGAATTGTAGCTGAATCTATATCTTTCATTCTTGATAAAAAATGAGCAGACGAAATTTATGTTGAGGTTGAACCAATAATCCAATCCGCTCTCGATGGTCGAAACGTATGTATAATAGCTTATGGTCAAACGGGCACGGGAAAGACATATACAATGGTCAGTAATGTGTAAAAACTTGCCGTTATGCTGAGGAAATTCTATTGCTTAAAGTGTTGCCAATTGAACAGGATGGCAGAATGGAGCAGCCAGGGATAGTCCCGCGTGCTCTCGATATGCTCTTTCGACAAACCTCGGTCGCGAATTCGTGTACCATAACATTTTCCATGAGTATGTTGGAGGTTTACATGGGCAGTCTAAGAGACCTTCTGGCCCCAAAGGCAGGCTCAAGAATGTATGAAAGATGGTAAATGCCAGAATTGATCCATAATGCATTCAAGTGGTGAGCCAAATTATTCATTTGCTTACTATGAATTGACTAACTCTGCTACAGCAATCTCAACATTCAAACAGATCAAAAGGGGTTTGTCGAGATAGAGGGTCTCACGGAAGTGCCGATTCCTGATTTTGAAAAAGCAAGATGGTTGTATAATAAGGGAAGGCGGATTCGATCTACTTCCTGGACTAATGTGAATGAAACGTCTAGCCGATCGCACTGGTGCATTTTCTCGTCTTTTCAGTACTCACCAACTTGTTTTCTGGATTATTTTGGCTTGATAGTTACATTATCTTCTTAGCTTCATATATCTAGCTTAACAAAGGTCACCATTTATCGGTGCACGGATGCTTCAAAAGCTAAAACCGAAGTAAGCAAACTATGGATGGTGGATCTTGGAGGAAGCGAGAGGTTGTTGAAAACTGGGGCATGCGGTCTGACGCTCGATGAGGGAAGAGCAATAAATCTCTCGCTTTCGGCTTTGGGGGATGTTATTTCAGCTCTAAGGAGGAAGAGGGGTCATGTACCTTACAGGCAAGTTTTCCCATTACGAAAACTTTTGAAGTGTTTTTCCTTTGACCAATGAAACTGGTTGTTTTCTGAGTTCTGTTTTTGTTTCCTTGGTTGCAGAAACAGCAAGCTAACTCAAATACTCAAAGATTCCCTAGGTATCTTCTTTATGGTACATTGTTCCTTAAAGATTGTCTGAGTTTTTGAAGATTTTGACAAGAATAAAGCAAAAGGCTAAATTTTACTTGTGTATGAAGGATTTGAATTTTCACACCATAGAAACTATCCATTATCCTTACCAATGTCATGAATGAAATTACTACTGTAATTTTTTGTGATCTTAGTTATGAATCTATGCTCTCGAGCTCATTTGGTTTCGCTTGGTATCTTCTCTAGATTCAATTTCTTGTTTTTAGATTCATCCAATCAAATGAATTTTGTGAATTTCTGTTCAGTGGGTTTGTCTATTTGGATTCTGTAAATTGTGACCTAGAAAGTGAATATTTTAAAAATAACATTCACATTAAAAAAGAGTGAAGACACGAAATACAATACCGTTTTTGTTAAATCTCTTGTTTTCAAATTCCTATTTTTAAATCACCAATCAAATGCACTCCTAAAGTCTCCTAAAGTTTCGAAAGAAGCAATTACAATATATCCTTTGAAGTGACTTTGAACGGGTTGTATAGGTGATGGTTCAAAGGTGTTGATGCTTGTGCATTTAAGTCCGTGTGAAGAAGATGTGGCGGAAACGATATGCTCGTTGAGTTTCGCGAAGCGAGCACGAGCGATCGAGACAAGTAGAGAATTACAGGAGGTAGAATTCTAAAGCTTCTCAGTATTTCAAATGTGATTTCTGGATATTCTTGAAAAGTGAGTCCTTTACACCTTTCCAATTTAGGACTTGAAGAAGCAAAGAGAGAGAAGAATTGCAGAGCTTGATGAAACCATGAAGGAAGCTCAAGAGGAATGCCAGAAAGTCAAGAACCAAATACAGAAGGCCGAGTTTCTACTAAGCGAAAACAAGAAACTATTTTCTACTGATCATCATCCATGTATCGAAACTCCAGAGACGAACGATATAGCACCCGAGGAAGATCGAAAGGAAGTCATAATCACACCCAAGAAATCTAAAGCTCCAAGTAAAACTATCATTTCAAGTTCTTTGCCTCGTTTCATGACTTCGACAATGGCGAGTCGCCAAAGACAAAGTGCTGCAGAAAACAAAGTGGTGATGGGGAGAGCGAAAAGTTTGAGATTCGGAACGAGAAGCTCTGTCCAATTCTCAAGTTCCCAGTCCATTAGTTACTCAGATTTTCGTATCAGAGCAAGTTTACAAATTTCAAATAAGAAATCGCGGTATGCAGAATCCGACACCCTCTCAACAGAAAATCCTAAAGTCAATGGCCCAGAGTTGAAGAAAGATCCATTGCCATTGCCATTGCCACAAAGCAAACTGGTAACTTCATCTGATCCGAACTCGAGAGTTACGCTATCTCGTCACCGGAGAAGGATGTCCGATCTAATCTAACCGTTGAAGGATATGGAAAGAAACTTGTTGATATGTGATTCTTGTTCATTTTTCTTTTCCCCTGTTTCTGATTGTGCTAATTGGAGTTGTTTCTTTGGTGACTTGGTGTGTGAAAATAGGGTTAGCAGATTGGCTGTTGGCTGTTGGGGATCTGTTGATATTTTTACATGATCCTGGTGTATCTTGCTTTTTTTTTTAGGCTTGTTTGGTCTGGTTAACTTTTTGTTAACATGATATTTGTAACTCATACAAGGATGATAACTTTTAACTATTTTTTCTTATATTTTTTTGTTGGGTTACTTAGTTTGCATAAGATGCCTACCTTTCCTACTCATTTATAATTTATATTGTTTTTTTAATACAACATGTGGAAGTGGAAATTCGAACTCCTGACATTTCTGTGGGAAATATGTTAAAAATATTATAACTAATTAGTTTCCTATTCTTTGGAATTAATTAATTCCCTAGTCTTAAGCAATCCCAATTAGATATTTCATAACTACTTGTAATTAGTTTGATGTTCTCATGCAATTAGTTTCCTTTGATTGCTACATTATTTTAGGAAAACTCGTCCTCTGAATTTAACTCTAAAATTGACGAGTAATACCCACCCCATTTCAAGTTAGTTTAACTTTTAGTCCGTGGTTTGTCAATTAGTTATTTTATTTGGTTCTGGTAATTTTTGCATGACTTAGGGCTACGTACAGGACATGTTAATGAAAAGTGACCCATAATTTGTACAGATGGCCATTTTACCCCTCTAGATTTTCAACACCCCAGATTCCAGAAATCATCCGCATGTGAGTCCCTAACTGTGAATCCCTAAAATCTCCGCGACAAAATCTACCTATTTTTAACTCCTTCTAACTAACTATTATTTTTAATATCATTCAAATTATTTTAAAATCTTATTAATTAATATAATCAAAGTATAGAAGAAACCTCCAAGTAATAAATTTCCCTGTAATCACGTTCTTAAAAAATCTCTACATACCCAAGTGGCTAAATCTACTTATTTTGAATGTCATTCTAACTTATTATTATTCTTAATATCATTCAAACTATTTTAAAATATATTAATTTGTCTACAACAAAATTTAATTAGAGTGTAGAACAAACTTAACAAATTCGTTAATAAATTCCACGGCAGTCACCATTTTAGTTCTCCTTAAATAGTCTTACACGAGTTCCATCAATCATCATTTCTATTATTTGAGATTTTAAATCAAGTAATGTGGGAATTCTATGCAATTGCTCCTAGCCACGGTTTTAGCACATTTCAATTCTATTCGATTTCACCCTACAACAACTCATTGCATATATCCCTAAAGATCATTTTCCAGAAGGAAAGAAAATTACGTGCTTTCATTGTTTAAAAATAGTGTGAGCAAGTCAATCATTATGAGGCAATCAATAGACAGGGATGTGGTGTAGGCCATATTACTTTTGTCGAATGTCATGGGCAACGACTGCTGCATAATTGTGGATACTGACCCCGTATATAGCGTCATCTATGGGGGCAACGAAAGTGCGAAAGTCACTCAAAACGTAGTTTACCTCAGGGGGAAGAAATTTATCTTCATGGACCCTATTGATTTTGACTGTGCTCCCTCTAATTTCTCGTTGGAAGAATTATATGTTTTTCAAAATAAGGAAGAATTGAAGAAGACTATTTATGCAATTGCATTAAAAGTTGTAAGGTGCATCGAAGAAACATGCAACTGGTATGTTCGCTCATCTCGATATGGCGACGTTAAATTATGGATTGTTAGAAAACTCGTACTGGAGCACACTTGTTCAATTGTTGTTGTTCGTAATGACCAAAGGCAAGCGACAATAACACAATGATAAGTAAATGTGTGAAGATAATGTTAGGCATGAACAACGAGAGACGTTGTAGTCCATGTGACATAATTGATTACGTTTCGAAGAAGCATGAAATCAATATTAGTTATGACAAGGTCTGGAGAAGAAGAGAGAAGACTTTAAACTCATTAAGGGGCCACCTAAACAGTCGTTTGCTCTCATCGCGTCTTTTGCAGCCAGGCTGATCGAGAAAAATCTAAGTACCGTGTCTGTCTCTACTTATTTTGTCTTTATTCTGTCTACTACTTATTTTGTCTTTATTCTGTCTATATGCATATTTACCCCATATGTTTTCAGGGATGTACACAACCCATGAGGTTGATGGTGATGGGAGGTTTAAATTTTTCTTGATGAGTCTAGTAGCATCAATAGATGTATGGAAACACTGCCCTTTCAGTATTTTCCATCGAAGGCACGTCCCTAAAAAATATATTCCAATGCCAAGGATCAATTATGTTTTTTGGAGAAGAAGGAGACGATTCGTGAGTTTAAAGGTTGTCATGGTATTAATTATTGTGTCTCCCAATGTAGCTACTTCCTTCGTAGTTTTTAAAAGCAATATTTGATTTTTCAATCCTATTTTTCTACTCATTTTCCACTTTTCTGCATTGATTTTATGTTTTGTTAGGTCATATTTCATACTCTCCTGCATCTTAACTTTTTTTTTTATTTCAAAGTATTCATTTTATAGATTTCATGTTTGAAATTTTGAAATTTCTAAATCTAGATTTTATTTTTGAAATTTTGAACTTAAATGTTTTTTGATTCACTATTTTATTTCCTAAGATCAAGCTGTAGCAAAGAGTTGTTTTAAAGGTTATTTTTACCATAAAATTTTAGGGGTAATCGTATAATAATTTTAGCTATTTTGATGGGAGGGTATATTTGTCTATATTAAATTCTAACGTGAACGATAACTACTTGGTAGCCATTTTTATGATCTTGGATACTTTTAGCCATTTTTCAAATCGCACTATTTTTCGACGGTACTATTTAAACTCTAGTTGCCCCTGAGGTAACTAGAGAATTGACCATATTAAATAGAGCGATTTGAAAAATAACCAAAACTATCTAATAATGTAAATATTGCTATTGTTCAATCCAACAATTTAAATTGGACAAAAATACACTTAAAACAAATTGGTCAAATATTATCCTATAATTGCCTTCTCTTTTGGTGACAAATATATCATTGAACTGACAACTTATGCGGCAGCTGGATTTTAGGAACTAAAAAACTTACCGGAAGAATATGTATGTATGTATGCATGCACGCACCTAAAGGAACTCTTATACTATCTTCTCTTAATAATGCATATTCTAGAATTTGAGAATATGAAGAAGCTCCTTACCACCTCGGTAACACATAATTGAACCTTAAATTAAATGTACATGCTGCTAAAACATTATATGCGGGAAAATCTTTTCTTCCCTTAAATCTTGATGCATTTTCTTTTGATACTTTTACATGCATATGTATTCCATCAATGGCCCCAACACAATCTTATATAATAAATATTTAATGGTTAATATGAATTAAAATATGGAAAAAATCTTGTGCTATTTTGAATTTCAAGAGGAATTGAAGTTTCATTTGATTGAACTAGATATTCTTCTTTCAATGATATAATTGCCTTTAAGACTAGATGAAAATGCCAACTCATTGGTTCACTTTTTCGACGAAAGAAAAATTTAATTGTCCTATTTCTCACGTTATGGGCTAAAATATGCAAAAACCTGGCTACTTATTCTTCTATAGAACTATATTGGCTATCTTTAATCTATCTTGCACCCTTAAGTATGTCAACTAATCTCCTAAATGCTAATGAGACCATTCGCAAGCTGTCTCTACTTCGTTCCACATTGGAAATAAATCTTATCAATAAATATCTTACTTCTTCTCTTTCTATTCAAGGCTCAAATGAAGATCTTGTAATGTAATTTATGTTTTGATAAATTTCTAATAATGCAATGACATATCCAATACAAATTGTTATTGCACCAATTGCAATTCGTCTATTTTGCACCCAATTTCTCATGATATTATCTGTGTTTTGGTTAAAAACCGAGCAGGACACGTGTCTGCCACAGAGAGGCATGAAACCACAGGCGTTATAGGCCGTACACTACGATTGTAGGGGAAACACGCCTACACTCCCACAGTATGGGGAGCACGCCGAGCCCCGCAACTTGCCAATGGTAGGTGGCAGGTTCCAAGCCTGCAGGTCAAGGTGCCATCCACCAATGTCGGAGGGTACGCTCCCATTAGGCATTGTACAGTGCGACGCGTCCCTGCCATCTCAATCGTCGTCCTTCCTAGTCGGCCATCCGAGCTTATAAAAGGGAATGACCCTCACCTTCACCGAGTGAAAAACCTGTCACTTATACCTAAGGTGTATTTTCTTATTCCCTATTTCGATCACTAACTTGAGCGCAGAGTGTATTAGGCGGGACACCGCACCGATGTCGAGTTTTCTAGTTGCAGGCTCATTTGCTCATTGGCAAACCTACTCGTCTGAGGGACACATGGACCTCTCCAAAATTCGCCGTCAATAGTTGACGTCGTCTGTGGGGAGTGACGTTTTTAAGCCAAACGAAAACTAGTTCTACTCACTAAGGGCATTACTAAAATGACTTCGAACAAAGAATCATCCTACGAATAGTTCGTTGATGTGGAGCATCGGCACGACAAATCAGTTAACAAAGCCACTCCAACTCCTCCTGCCCTTCAAAAAGTCAAGGGAGTGCGAGACACTCTCAACCCCCTTCGCGCTATTGGCCACCTTGGTAAATGAAAGGTGGTACATCCCCATCGCAAAAGCTCGAGGTTTCGGAACGAGATGCGAGCAGTCAATGCCTGCATGTCCGCCCAAATCGAAAGGCTTGAGGTTTCGGAACGAGATGCGAGCAGTCAATGCCTGCATGTCCGCCCAAATCGAAAGGCTCGTCGATGTCATCCTCACTGACTAGACTTTCGAAGCTCCGTGCCCTCTGAACGAAAGCACAAGCAAAGGAGAGAGAGCCAAGGGAGAACTTTGAGCCCCACTAAGAGAGGGCCTCAATGATGAGGACACCCTCGTGGCGCTTGGACTCGCCAAAGACTCGAAGGATCTTCAAGACAAAAATAACAAAGGCTAAGCCCGACGAGGGGAAACCAGCTCAAACATGGAATCCCAGACTAGCATCGAAACGTCTAGCCACCCAAGTGGGTCCCAAGCGGGGATTGACCCGGAAGAGTTGGACCGCATGAAGAAATAAATCTTCAACCGGGTAAAAATAGAACTCAGGATTGAGGGTCAAGGACTTACCACTCAGTACGTATGAACCATTGAAGATCGCTCAAGAACCATTCACAGCCAGCATCTTGGCTGTAGAACTCCCGAAATGATTCAAAGGCTAGCGGATTGATAAGTATGACGGAACTTCTGACCCG